GGGGGGGCTCCAATGGTCAAAAGGTGGTTCGTGAGCTGAAGCTTATAAATGTCATGAAATGTTGGTCACTTAGATTTTAGCGGATTGGTTCATTGGTGTGTGTCCTAGAGTAAGACATTTGTACCTTAGCTGAGAAAAAACAACAGGTTCTCCACAATGGTAACCAGGGGTTTGTTTTTAGTTAACGTTTTACAGCACTTGCAACACAAATAGGTCATGTAAGTAGTACTGAAGACTAGCGGTGGTACTGGAAAGTAATATACAACAAAAAAAGCGAAGTTGGAAAAATAAGGAGAAGTGCAAGATCTGAAACAGACGTGGGCGATCAGAGCTCTCTAGTCATTTCTCAGGTCAGATACGATTTTTTTCCAAAAATTGTTGTCACAAGCATTGCATTAAAGTCTGTGTATGAACTACTTCTTACACCACAGACAAAAAAAACCTAGTTTTTCCTATCAAGAACCACGAAAAGTAAGAAAATTGTAAACCTTGACGTTAGCATTAAACTGCATTTTGGCGATGTTGAAAGATGGATCTTTGGTATAGCTTTGAGTGTTGTTGTTGTTGTTATCGATCCAGCAACAAGCTGGGCTCTCTCCCTTCTGTCCAGTGCCATGTAGGGATAAGTGCAAGTTTGCTACAGTTGCCGTAATGCTCCACAGTGTGTGTTTAGAGCTTTGAGAGGGTGTAAAAATTGAACATTCTCAAACTTTGGACTTCAGTGGATTGCTTGCACCAGCTGCAATACAAAAAGCATATCAGAGCACTTGCCATCAAACACACTCAGCTTCCTAACCTAAACAGTTGAAGTGTGTCAACACAAGAAGCTGACATAACACAAAACCCTCACCGTTAAGTTCAGTTTTTAGCAGAGTTTTTACGGTGCTCACAACAGCATAAGGTTATTATGAGTGCTAAGGGCTGGATGTCAACAGAGAAGTCTCAACAGGGAATCAGGCTTACTCCGCTCACCTCTCTAGCCTCAACAGCACAAAGTCTGCTTTGACTATCGAGGCACCCCGGAAATAGCAGTTCACAAGAGAGTGACAAACATACAAAAGAAGTAAAGGAAAAAATGACGATAGTAAGGATGAGGAAAGAAAAAGCAAAAGTTCCCCCTATGTTGTTCCGACAAAGTATGAGCATGACATTGATAAATCAACCCATTTACAATTCTACTGAGCATAAGCACATGTTAATATCCCCCTTTAGGAATGGCTTAAAGACAACTTCAGTCAGTAGCACTGCCCCGGGGGCACCCTTACCGTGTGATCCTCCTTCAACTGTCGTATGATGGCCTGCCAGCCCGCTGGGTCATACTGAACACGGTAGTAACCCTTGCCATCTGTGTTTCCTGTCACCCACAATGCCTCACTGTCCGGGATCTCCGCCGATGCTACAGGGGACAAAAAACAAAACACAAGAGTGACCTCGGAGAGAGAATTTTTTTTTATAAAGAGAAGCACAAAGACAAAAAATATGGTAATTTATTTATTATCTTTTTAAATGTTGCAGATTTTACGTTCTTCTTGACGTGATTTTTGATAATTTTTTAATAAAGAGAAACACAAAACACAAATATCGATGGCTGCTTGCCATAAGTGATTAAGTCCAAAAGTAAGCTTTGAGAAAATGACGTTTAACCAAAGTTTTTTGCGTTACAAATCTTGCAACCATTTTGTTACCACTTACATTTGAAATTCCTGGTTTTGAAGGCTCATACAGGTAGGGAACATTGTAAGATTAGAATAGGTTTCATGCTTAAGGGGCAAGAGGTTTCTTTAAAAAACTGACCACTTTGGACTATTCACTTTTTGCAGGGTGGTCAACGTTGACTTTGTAACTGTTATTCCGTTGTAACAAAAAGAAAGAGTAAACTCAGACAACTCAGACTCAATCATTTTATTGAAACAGAATCACTTAAACACTTTTTATTGTATTCTGATGGCTGTGGTAGCAAGAAAAGCAGTTGACTTGAGAGAATAATATTCAATCTTTGAACTTAAATGATCTCTCCAAAAGCACACACTTTCTTATTTTTTGTACGTTACTATTTTAGAGTGAAACTTAACATTTTTCCTTCAATGTTGACTTCTGTCATTCAAAAGAACATCAAAACAAATCACATAAACTTTCAAGACGACGTTTTATAGTCTACGTCTAATAAGTCACAACGTATGATAAATAAACTTGAAACTGTTAAGACGTTCTGCATATTATTATTATCAGCATGGGGGGGGGGGGGGGGCATTAGGGAACTGGACAAAAAGGAACTTAATCATTATTAACAAAATAATCAAGAAAGCATTAAAAATTACACTGAAAGAATCATCACATCTGGAATCACTCCTCACCCTACTGAGCTTGAAAACATTAAAAGCATTCAAGAAGACCTAACACACCCACTAAATATTCACACCAAACTGAGCCAAAGAAGTAATAGACCTCTCACAAAACTGCGGCACAGAAAAACATGTCATAGGATATATAGCCATGTTGTGCCTTTAGAAAATTGAAACACCAAAACAATGTGTCATTTTGGACAATAAAGCCAATATCTTATCTTTTCTTACATTACGGATTCAGGGCACTCAGTCTAAAATAAAGATAAAATTATAGAATATTAAGCACTCTGCACATACTTTCAAATTTAAAAAATACCACACAAATTAAAGAATAGAGAGACAGTAACGTCAAGGATTTTAGTACACGATTCCAATCAAAAGTGTACCATAACTTGTGGCCAACAACGCTTTTTACAGACAAAAAAAATCAAGTGATCCAAATAACTAATAAAAATTTTCTGGATCTGAGTTCATAATGTCAGGTTCAGGGAGGGTATCATGTACACCCTCAGAAGTCGGGTCTTGCTTCTTGGCTTTGCTGACTTGTATTTCTTTGTTATAGCGTTTTCTCAGCGCTGGATCTTTTGGTTTGGATCTGCGACGAAGAGGACAGTCCAGATTTCTGTACCCGTCAGTCTGTTTATATTTGTAGAAAATTGTGTTCAGAAAATTATCTCTGACCTGAAAATATTTTACAAAAAAAAGCAGTTCATGCTCTCACTAATCCTGTCTTTTTTTTTTTACTGTTGCTTATCAGTTCAGGGGCAACAGCTATAAAATCCATGAAGTCAGGGTATCGCAGCCTCCTAACTTTGCATGCTTTTTTGAGCGCCGAGCATTTTAAAAAATGTTGGTCCACTCTGTCAAAGAGAAATAGTTCCTGTGCTTTTTTCTCATGCTCTGTTCCGGCGTGCATAGAATTGACCTCCATGAAAGTATGGCCGGATTTTAAGACGTTCTGTGTAATGACTGTGAATCTCTTTGATTGTACCATGTACAGCAGCATGGCTACAACATTCACGTTTCTATTTTGGCCTGAGCATGTGTCCGAGAACAGGCTTACTTCAAAATCTCATGAGGAGGGGAACCTAGCCATCGATATAGGCATGTAGCTATTTTGCAACTTCCATGACGTCCATCAATCTCAGGCCAACATAAGCAATAACCTTCATTTGGAAGTTTATTTTCCAGGATTGTCAAGTTCTCTACACACAGCTTTCTCGAATAGTATGTCAGAGGAACATCACAGCAGGGCAATTGAGAAACACTTTGAAGATCAAATGTTGCAGTGGTGAAATGTTCATCTGTTTGGGCTCAATCTTTATCTTGCTGCTTGGCTAACTGTGCTTCTTTGTGACGCTTTAAGTCTTGTAATGCTTGTGTGACAACTGCTTTTCATCATCTGTCAAATTGCTGCATTTTGAACATGTAACACACTTGTCTTTCTGGGACACAAAAAAATGATAAGTTGAATTCTTCACCAAACACAGTTCTAAAGACCATCTCTGTAACTGGTTCTATGGCTGGAACTTGATCTGAACAATACTTCTTGTACAGTTGGTACATTTTAGAAATGTTTATTGTTTTGTCCAAATACTTTCTCTATGAGTGTTTTGGTGTATAAATGTGACTCCATAACTGGGAAGAGCTTGATATGGCTTCTGCCTACATCCAACATCTCTTCGTTTGTTTTATTCCATGGAGTATGCTTCCACATCCCTCTTTTGTCTTCACAAGCAATAACGCCCTCTGCACTTTTATTTTTTTACAGCAGTATTGATAGGTCCATGGGATATGTTCAAAGTCTTGCAAAAGAAGTTTTTGCACACAAGTACTTTAAAATGACCTAGTCTAAAAAAGTACTGGGCTGAATGAGATCCTGGTTTTTTTAGTTTTTGCCTGGCCATGGTCGTTTACGTTGGAGCTCATATTACAAAGGATCTACACAAACGCACAAGTAAAGACTTAGTGTCCCAATATGATGAGGGCAGGGCAGTAGATCAAAATGTCTCTTGCTCAAAAGACTATCAAGCACAAAAAGTGAATAACAGGGTTTGATCACTGTCAGATAGCCCAATGTTTTCTGCCAAAAATGAGTAAACGTGACTTATTCATTTTTGCCATATATAAGCCTTTCAAGTGCTAAGAAATAATTACTCCAGCAAAACCGAATATTATAAAAGTTCAGAATTGGCAGTAAACCTAAGGGTTTTTTTGGCCTTAATCATTTGACAAGGTCTCTATTTCTTGCAGTTATAAAAGAGGTAGGACTTCGTCACCTCTTGAGGTTATAGAGCATCAAAAGTTTGATAAGAAAAAGTAAAAAAGTAAAAATCGCCAATCATGGACTTATTCACTTATAGCAAGCAGCCATCGATATGATCATTTATTTTTATAATTTTCTCTTTAAATGTAGTTGGTTTTACGCTCTTATCGATATGATTTTAGATCTTTTAGAAGGCGGGCTTTCGACTCTGCCAGTCAGGGCTGACCTAGACCGAGAAGGACTCAACATCCCGGCATAAAAACCAAGATACTCAATAACAATTCTCTCCACTCTTTAATCAAGTTTGTGTATCCCATGTGCAGTAGCGAAGTGACTGACTGACAGCCACACAAAAGACGATGGTGGTCGCAGGGACAACGACAGTCACAAAGACACACACACAAACAGCCTACCTGACCCTCGACGTAGCCAGATGAGTGTCTTCTCCCTCGGGTTGGAAGACGTGCGGAAGGTGAAGGGCACATGCCATGTGTACCTGGACGTGAGAGACAGTATACAATCTGAACTGTCCAAGATGAACACTCGTTGAGGAAAAAAGTGGTTGTCTTAGACAGGTATTTAAAAAAGTTTTAGTAAAAGTTTTATGACGCTCGCAACTGCATTAGGTCATATGAACGCCAAGGGGTGGGAAATGAAAGAGCTGATGCTCTGGCAAAGAAAGGAGCTAGCCTCCCTCAGCCTGAAATTCCTACGAATTACACCACCTGCTGCCAAATGATCAAGTCAAACCTCAAGGAAGAGTGGATGAATGATGGGCCACAGGTTCGACAGGAAGGAGGATGTATGGCCACATGAATAAACCACGGGTCAAAGATCCAATCAAATGGTTGAGGAGGGGAGATCAATCCATAATCTCCCAACTTAGAACACAACATGTACCCCTCAACCAACATCTCAACCAAATTGGAGTAAAGCAGTCTGCTGCCTGCCCACTATGTGACTACCCCTCAGAGACAGTGGAACATCATCTGTTCTTCTGTAGAAAACTAACTGATTTAAGGGGATGTTTTCTTCCCAAGCTACCCCACACATCTAATTGCCTCTACTCCTCAAGACAACAATTAGAACAAACATGCAACTATTACCGAATGGCATCATGCAGAAGAGTTAACGCTCAGATGCTACTGGATCGCTAACAACAACAACAACAACGCCAAGGGGTGGATGTCAACGGAAAAGTCTTTACAAGGAACCAGGCTTACTCTGCTCACCTTTCTAGCTTCAACAGTACAAAGTCTGTTTCGACTATCAAGGCACCTCCGAAATAGCAGTTCACGGGAGAGTGACAAACATACAAAAGAAGTAGAGGAAAAATGATGGTAGTAAGGATGAGGAAAGGAAAAGCAGCAGTTCCCTGTTGCAGTCCAGGAACAGTTATGAGCATGACAATGATGAATCAGCCCATTCAGGGGGTTTGACATGGAAGGTGGAGAAGGAGAAAGAGAAGGAGAAGGAGAAAGAGAAGGAGAAGGAGAAGGAGAAGGAAAAGGAGAAGAAGAAGAAGAAGAAGGAGAAGAAGAAGAAGAAGAAAAAGAAGAAGAAAAAGAAGAAGAAGAAGAAGAAAAGGAAGAAGAAAAAGAACAAGATGAACAAGAACAAGATGAACAAGAACAAGAAGAACAAGAAGAACAAAAATTCTACAGTGCATAAGAACATGTTAACTCTTTATATCCGGCAAGCCGCTCCCAGCAGCTCGCGGTCGGAACCACTGTGCTAGTGAGCCGCTGACAGCAGCTCAGGCACATTCCTTTACGACGACTTCAACAGCAAATTACTTTATGGCAATTGCCGAAAACAGGTCTCTTATACTGAAAGTTCATTCATTAGATGAAAAACTATGAAATTCGGTTTGCTACTTTTGATTTAATGACCCATTCAATGACGTTGTGGCGTTTTTAGATTTAGCACCAAAAAAGCGCCCCAAATTAGTGGATTTACCCGCCTAGGAGATAAAGAGTTAATGTCCCCCCCTTTGGGAATGGTCTAAAGACAACTTCAGTTAGTAGCACCGCCCCGGGGGGTACAAAACTGTCCATGATGAACAGCTGTTGATGAGGAGAAAAGAGGTTTTCTTACACAGGTAGACGTTTCAGATAGTGTCAGCAGAGCAATGTGAAAAAATGCAAGTGAGAGAGGGGAAAGGAGGGAAGGGGGAGGGGAGGGGAGAGAAGGGAGTGGGGGGAGGGGAGAGAAGGAAGGGGAGTGGGAGAGGAGAGGGAGAGAGAGGAGGTAGTGGTGGGGTCGGGTGGGCAGAGCGGGAAGATGTTGTTTGTACAGGTGATTGTCTTGGAACAGTGGCCGTTAGAGCTGGTTCGGCTGGAGAGTAATAACAAAGGGGATGATAGTCACTAGAATAGGGTAACTCTCTCTCTCTCTCTCTCTCTCTCTCTCTCTCTCTCTCTCTCTCTCTCTCTCTCTCTCTCTCTCTCGCTGTGTCTTTCAGTTTGGCCCTCGGTTAAGTACCACACTCTCCCAATCCTACACTGAGAGAGCAACGGGGGAGGGGTTGAGAACAGGAAAAATGTATAATATATAAAGCCAAATAAATGAAAAGAGAGAGAAAAGAGTGAGAGAGACAGAGAGTACAGAGAGAGACAGAGATAGAGAGAGACAGAGAACAAGGGAGAGTCAGGCTGATAGAGAGAGGGAGAAGAGAGAGACAGTGAGAGAAGGGGGAGGGGGGGGGAGAGAAGTGTCACATACACACAAATCGTACACAAGACTTTCCATCAACTCACCCAAAAGGGGAGGTAAACTTGCCGTCGTCAACCGCAGACTTCTCGCCGGAGATGAGAAAGCGTTCCTGCATCAGCTGTAGCTTCCCTTTGTCGCGGCTCATCAGGACCACAGGGTAGCCCATCTGTTTGG